GCCGAACCCGAGGCCAACGAAAGCTAGCTCTGGGTATTGCGCAGCTTTCTCCTTGAGAATACGTGATACCACCGCACTGCCCAGCACACTGCCCCCACACACCCCCAATCAACCGCACCAGGCCACACTCTGCACCTTCCGTTGAGGTGTTGAGCTCGAAATGGGCGTGGCGCACTTAGGCCTCCTCAAAGCCCCCACCATCCCACTGCATCTTTACCATACAGCCAGCATCACCTTCAGCATCTCCTTCCCCCCCCCCCCCCCCCCCACTCCATCCTATGATGCCAGAAATTGCGCGCAGCCTTCCGGACCTTCTCGAGACCTGACCCACATGGCACAGCACTACACGTTCCCTTCTGAATAACATTCAACAAACCCATGGCGAGAAGCCTGATAGGGTTTATTGGGTTTAGGGACCAGTATAATAAAGGAGAACAGAAGCCGACGAATGCCCTTGCTTCTTGTAACTATGGCACCTGCAGTCGGCGCCACTGCACATCTTGAGAAGCCCGAGCTTGACTTCGAGACATGCTCCAAGTTTGCAGAGTGGCAAACTTTGAGCACGACGCGAAGTCCAGCTCGGGCTTCTCACGGCCGCAGCAACAGGATTGGCCCATGGCTGCGTGGCTCCTTGCGGTAAACGTCAACAAAATGGATCCTTGAGAAGAGCAGCTGGAAGCATCGAACAGCATGGGAACGGAGAGCTTTGATAGCCAATAGAGCCAAAGCAAAGTGCGAAGGCCGGCCTGTTCGTCGGGCATCATGCAGGGCTCTCTTTGGGGCATTCGCTCAACCCGCACATGCTCTTTTCGTCGGACAAGAAGTTTGTCACTGTCGCCATCCGATGTGGATTGCACCGGGTTCCGGGGAACAGTTCTTCAAACGCGCCGGATGCCACGAGATTTGCTCATCGCAAGCTCGCAATTCCGAAGACTCCCTATATACCTGTGGTTCGTCTTACTTTGGGTTGTAAAGGAAAACGCCCTGGCTTCTCCCGGCACCGCCCAAACGCGCTCGCAAGACGTCGAGTGTCGTCGAACTCCGCTATAATTAAGTTAGAATAGGCGACGTAGAAGCTAACTTGTGGTGCGTCTTCGCTTACTATTCGTTCACTATATGCGGTTGTATACGTTTTTGTCGCCCATGTACAGGCGTCTTCGCCTCCTGTGTGCCGCGTCTTCGCTTGCCGTGCTGTTGTTTCGCTTATTGGCGCCGCTTCGCTTACTATGCGCGATTGTTGTTGCCTTTTGGTGCGTCTTCGCTTACTCTGCGGTGGTTGGAAACATGCGTCCATAGAGATCGCGATCTAGACCGCAAGAGCTATCCGCAACAGCATGCGCTGAGAGAAACGGACTGAGCAATTGGCAACATGCGCTCGCAGAGACGTCATCAGGTGCGCTTGCTTAATACACCAAAGAAGACGTGCGAACGTGCGCTCACACAGGCCGCGATCTGCAACTTAAGATCCCCACTGCGCTCAAAGAACTTATAGTCCAGGTCCACGGGGCTCTCCAAGACAGGCGCTTATAAGGAGATGTACGGACACGCGCTCGTACGGACCGCGATCTATATAGCTCAAGATCCCCGCAGAACCCTCAAGTATGCCGTCAACGCCTCGCAAATAATAGCCGTGCCCAATCAAACCCGCTCTTGCCTACGTACCGCGCGGATTCCGTGAGCAAAATTCCATTCTCACATCGGTCCCGTGTGCATGCTCCTTGGAAAGCGCAAAGCCGTCGTTGCTTTTTCCCTTGCAATGCTTGGAGTGCAGTCAGAGGGGTCTGGGAGCGGTCTGGGGGGAATGATTCAAAATTTTGAAGGTGCCATCAGAGTGGTCTCTTGTTGCAATTGCGAGCTTGCTGCGAGACACACGAGATCACGAAAGAGATATCCTCATGTCCGTTCTCTCCACTTGGCTGCCACAAAACAACACAGCACAGCATACATCTTACTCATTACGCCCACTATGCCTTTCCGGCTTTCTTTCAATTGCCTACAGGTGTACAGAGCATGGGGCCTCTCCCTCTCAGGAGATGAAGGGTGAAACGTCCAGCGCGAACCCGGTGAACCCTACCTTCCCTTTAAAAGGCAAGGTAGCGTCCAGCGGATGCACTCAAAGGCATCTTTACTCATTGCACTTGCAGCATCTTGCAGCTATGGCAAGAGGCAGGCCGTTCAACGCTTCGAAGGATTGCGTTGAACGGCCTGCCTCTTGCCAGTCGGACTTGCGCAAGCGAGCAAAGAAGTTAGGTTTCCAAAACAAATGCAGAACTTACCACCGAGGAATAGTCTAAGCAAGAACCCCGCCACTGAACTATGCATCTCGAAATCTCCAAAAAAAAAGGTAAGCACCAGCGATTCTACAACAGTGTATTTAGGGAGCCCTCAAAAGCCTCTAAAGACCCCGCGTCTGACCGAATAATTATGAAACATGCAAAACTCAGCCGAAGGGGCGCTACCCTGGCAGATCTGAAAGCGCCGCATCTGACCTATTTCTGACCCTATATCTACTTTTTGGAGATTGTCGCCAGTGCGAAGGCGCCGTCCCTCTTCACTCTGCGGAGCCGGTGGCCGCCCACGCGGCGCTCATGATGCGCGTGCCTGCCGGCGCAGGGTCTGCAAAAGCGGGCTTGAACATTTGGGAGCTTCAGCTGAAATTCCACAAGGTCACTGTCAATAGTCAATTACTAGGCGCTTTCGCAGCAGAAGGCTGGCACACGGGCAGTTAGCTACCATTAGCTTCTATACAAATAAAACGTGATCTGGCTTGTTCGTCCTCCGGAATTATTGCCAAGACAAATGTTTGAACATGTTTGAACCCCAGGCCCAGCCTTGCAAGCCTTCGCTGGCCAAGAGTTGTAGCTTTCTTCTGCTGGTCCGTCCGATGGACGTCCTCCCAACGGGCACGAGCACAGAGGGGGGGAGCGGGAGTCCGGCAAAGTTGGTCTGTGACGAGAGACGAAGTGTACAACTTCTGGGTATGACTCCGTATGACTGTACATATGGCGTGTAGTACGTCAAAGTATGTGGTTGAGAGGTGCGTGGCTACAGGAAGCAAGAGGGGACGAGAACGCTGGGAAACACGCACCATCACACCCCCTTGAACGCAGTCCTCCACTGTTCGGACCATCGTTCCGCGCGACTGGGGCTGAAGGTTCTGAGGCTCACCATGGAGATGGTGTCACTTACCAGAATTTCCGTTTCCACAATCAGTCAGAAGCAAGAGGCCCCATTCGACGCCACAGTGGAGAAATTCGAGCTGATCGCGAGCCGCAATAAGCTCAAACTCCTCCACTGTGGCATCGAATGGGGCCTCTTGCTTGCTTCTGAATGTTCTGACCTGACCCGGATATGCGTCACAACTCACAAGCACACATCAGCCCGCGGCTCAAGCTTCGAAGTTTCAGGCCCTGCTCTCCTTCATAACTATAATGAAGGAACTTGCGAGTGCATTGCTTCTTCTGACCATGGCACCTGAAGGCGGGGCCAACGCAAACTTCGAGCATGTTTCGAAGTCAAACTCCGGCTTCGCGCGCCCGAAGCAACACGACTGCCCCATGGCTGTTTTGCGTGCGCAAGTGTTAAACAACCTACGCTTTCAAGAGCAACGCTGGAGCTTCGGAACGGGGATGAACGGAGAGGTCTGATAGCAAGTATAGCCAGATAAGCAACCTCATACACTCAGCCCGACCCCAAAACCACCCCCAGCCTGTCCAACCTGTCCACACAGCCTTACCCCACAAATTCATTCCTGTAGGGCCCAACAAAGCAAACAGCGCAGAACTTCGACACGAATCACAGCTGCAGGGATCGCTTTTGGCGCCTCCGGCTCCGCGCCGGCACATTTGATCTTATGAGGTTTCTTCGGACAAAGCTCCTCTCAGAGGTGACTTTGGTGACACCAGTGGCCTTTGGAGCTCCAAATGCTACGCCTATCTATGCATCGCCGCGAGAATAGATCGACACTCTGCAGATGCGCAGCGGTGCCCTCAGCGCGCGCCTCGCCCAGGCTCCCCCGGGCTGCACGCATGCAGTCGCCAGCCGGTGCGCAGGGGCCTGCAACGCAGCGGGCTGGAAGATTTGAGAGCTTCCAAGAGTCGAGGACATTCGCAAAAACCCGCTGCAACATGGGTCACTGTCAAGGACTCTCTATACTTTCAGTTTTTCTCAGGCTTCCTTGTCTTTGGGAAGACGCACTTTCGCGGGAGAAGGCGGCTGTAGAACACGGAGCGTTGCCTGTACGTGATTTGGCCTGTTTTCGTTCTGGTCCTCCGGAGTGTGACAGGTCCAACCCGATCATATACAAACAAGACACCCAACCTGTCACCACAGAGCCACCCTGAATCGACCGAAGAACAAACCCCCCAGCCCCCCAGGCCCAGCCTTCCAAACGGTGAGCTTGTGAGGAACGAATAGCGCGCTGCCGATTCTCCCGGCTGCTGCTCCGTGGCGTCCCTCCCCACAGGCCATGGCTGGCATATAAACCCTAAACCCTAAACCCTAACCCTAAACCCTAAACCCTAAACCCTAAACCCTAAACCCTAAACCCTAAACCCTAAACCCTAAATAGGTCTGCTCCGATGAGGGTGGTGGTAACGCAAGCTGTGCCGAGCTGCCTCGCAAGTTGACACTGCATAAGGCAGCAGGCAAATGTGCTGACGATGGCACCTCTACCTATGCAGATCCCCATGTTGGGGGGCCCACAGAGTTTCCCAAACTATGGTATTGTCTTGCTTGGGGGGGGGGGGGGTAAAGGGGATTGTATTCTAGTTGAGGGGGGGGGGGGGTATATAGCGGGTAACCGTATTTTAGGGAAATGCCCACACCTTCTAGCTGCAGCAGAGCCCAATCATCACCGGCCGAGCAAGCATAAGCGGGAGCATGCCGGATTTGCGTTCCTGGTAACACACACACACACAACCAACAAACCCTAAACCCTAAACCCTAAACCCTAAACCCTAAACCCTAAACAATCAGTGAGTTCGGAAGGCGGCAGCTTTTCAGGCCGATTTCTTCTTGCCGGTCAGCAAGTGCATCTTTCTGTAGCAGACCGAGAAGATTAACACCACAACCTGAGCGGAGTGCAGCTAACCCAACAAACTGGCTCTTTGCTCCGATACACAACCCTAAGGGTCCATGTACCTAGGCTCTAAAGGGCTTCTAAGGGGTCAGGGTAGTGAGCTTGTACTTGGGCCTACTGTAGGTACCCTCTTACGGCTGCTACGCAGATAGATGAAGCCTTCGTCCTCGAACTGGGCCGCCGCGCGCCTACAGAGCGAAGGGATGCTTCCCATTCGTCTTGGCACCTGGCCATTGATCAAGCAAGGCCATCAAAAAACTCTGTTAACCTCCCAAGCACCCGAATCCCGAAACCCTCAACCCTGAACCGCAAACTGAGCAGGCAGGACAAGCTGCGCTTCAGCTGCAGCGTGACAGAGTATTCCGGCTCGGGCTGGCCCTCCTCGGACGCAGAGGCGACTGGTGGAGATCCCCAGGATAGGGTATCTGAGAGAACCCATCAGAGTAGGCCCCCGAAAGACTTATCCATAATTCATATGAGCAACTGAATATTCTGAATGGTATGTTCGGAAAATATTTCCTTGGTTGCAGGGTGCTGGGTCCCTTTGGGAAGGATTCGCGGTTCACCTTTGCCCTGCGAACACCCGTCCTTGCAAAGAGATGAGAGCCCCATGTACGCGAAGCACAAGAAGATCATCAAAAGATATGGCAAACCTCAGGTCATTGCGAAAGACGACAAGAGACAGAACCTGCCGCGGAACCCAGGTGAGAGCGGCACCTGCGATAAGGTTTTCCAGGGTCAAATGTGGCAGCAGCCTGGCACTCAGACAGTTTTCAACAGCTGAAGGGGGCAATTATGCCACTCCAACTGAACTGGGGGCGCTGCCCCTCGCTGAACTGCTCATGCTGAAAACCCAAGACTTTCAACTCTCCGATTTCCACCTTAGCCCCGCCAAGGCGTGGCGCACTGGCGGTTGCGCGATTCTGCCCTCCCTTGCATTCTTTGCACTCTTGGGCCACCCCTTTCAGGAACCCTTTTGAGGAAAACGGATCCTCCCTCAAAGCAAAAAGGACCATATTGTGTGAAGCAATCTCCTAAATTAAATAGTGCAACTGTGCTTGTGCAATTCGACCTCAGATCGCGGCATGGAACTTGTTGCGACAGCTCTCCGTCGTCTCGACAACGAACTTGCTACCTAGCGAAGCACCACCTTGAACCCTCAACCCTATAACCCTCAACGTGCCGGGGTTGTTGTTTTGGTGGGGGGTGCGTCTAGCAAAGCAGCCCCCCATACATCAGGGCATCCGACCTGTCATGCTGCAGCTGCAACCACACATTCCCCCCCCCCCCCCAGCCTGAGATGATATGCCATATTGTCCCAAAGTCGGCTGTCAGCCGCCTGTGCTCTGAGCTGTCAACTTAGAACACCCCCCTGCTTCGAGCCTAGGGTGCCAGCCTAACTAACCCAACTTGGAGGTTCAGGGTATTGGGGCTTAAGGGGCTTGTAATTATAAGAGGGGGTAATAATTACAGTTCTAATTGGCTAATCCGTACCGTGAACCTTCAAGCATAAGCCCTAAACCTTGCAGCAAGGGCCATAGACTCTCAATCACGGTTTTCCCCAGATGGCAGATTTATGTGTGCTGTTTAGGGTTTAGGGTTTAGGGTTCCTGTTCCTCTGCGCCCTCCTCGCCCTCAACCCTCACCACAGCTGCAGGACGCCGACACCTGAAGCCCGAAACTCTGAGCAAACAGGAGAGACCGATATGTTTGCCGTAGGGTACCCCCACTACGAAGGGACCATAGACAACTCACCTCATTGGGTTTCGGGTGCCTGGCCTTCGTAGTGCGGTTGCCACAGCTTGCTCATCCTTGCCCAGCCTGGGCAGCCTTGCGGCCGAGAAGAGGGGCATCTCGGAGAGGAGAAACAAGAAGATTGATTGTAAACCTATAAACCCTCAACCCCAGCCCCTAACCTTGAGATAGTTCAACGTCTGTTAACCCGGTAAAAGCCCGAAATAGTAATGACGAGAAAAAACGAGATCAAATGAAATGGGTTGCCAAGCAGAATGAAACCCAAATGAGAAAGCAACAATGAACAACAAAATGAATTCAAACGAGAAACAAAATGAAAAAAATCATAACAAAACGAGAAAACGTGAGAAACAAATGAGAATCAAATGAGGTTGGCATGTGATACCAACACCCGAAATCGCAGTAGGCTGCAAACTCCAAGGCTGCTTGGTGTTTAGAGTTTAGAGGCTTTGGAATTAGGAGGATGGATCTGCGCGATGGGGCTTCGAATTTACCTTGATTCTCCTTCTGTTCCGCTGTGGTTGCTGGGCCCGTCTCATTTGTCGATCTGCTTCTGATCCTGTCCCCAGGGCTGGGGGGGGAGGGGGGGGGTGTCTGAAATCCTGGAATCCTGCCAAAATGCAAAAAAAGGACGCGAACTCAAATGAGAAAGACATCCCAGGCGAACGTAGGAAACGGGTTAGCGAAAGCAGGGGCCAGAGGCCAGAGCACCAATTTGCAACACCCGAACCCAAAACATGTGTAACAAGCCATGGCCACGAATAGGCCCTAAACCCTAAACCCTAAACCCTAAACCCTAATCCAAACTACCAACATACAACCGTAAATCAAAAAAGTTAAGCCCAGTTGCAAAAACCGATCACTAAACACCCAACATCGCGGCCGTGAACCCACACAAAAACCAAACCCTAAAAACACCAAAAACACAAACACTCAGCATAACATCCAAAACCAAACAACAAACCTCAATACACAAACCAAATCAAGGGCCAAAACACCAAACCAAAGGCAAACACAAAAAAAAAAATAAACACTGCCCCCCTCCCCAAATCCTAAACCCAAACCCGACACCCCCACCCCCCCACCCTCCCAAAAAACCCTCAACCCTCAACCCTCAACCCTAAACCCTTAAAAACAAAACCCTCCAAAAACAAAAACAAACAACAACCCTGATGGATCTGGGGCCGGAACTCGTCGCGCATTGCCGCAATGACTCGCTGCAGCTCAGAGCCCTCCTTTACTTGGAGGTTCAGGGTACTTATTAACCCAATAGGGTTTAGGGTTTAGGGTTTAGGGTTTAGGGAATAATAACTGTACTTATAACCCAATTATAACCATATTAGAGCACTTCAAGGGCTTATAAGTGGGTGATAAGAGTGTTATAAGTACAGTTATATTCCAAGAAGTACCATGAACCTCCAGGTATTGGAGGACTTGGGGCTTTGGGGCTTAGGGTTCAGGGTTTAGGGTTTCTAGGGTTTAGGGCTTCGGGCTTCGGGTTTAGGGGTTTAGGGTTGAATTAAGGGTTTTGGGGTTTGGGGCTTTGCTTTTTAAACAAGGCTTTGGGTTTAGAGCTTGAGGGTTGGGGGGTTTTGAGGTCTCGGGTTTCAGTTTATCAGGATTTAGTGGCTTTGTGTTTAGAGCTTGGGGGTTTAGGGACAAGGGTTTGCCTATTCTTGAAGCTTGAGTTTGTTTTTTCCCGTTGGGTTTCGAAGTTCAGGGTTTGGGGCTTTGGGGGGTTCGGAGCTTGGAAGGGATTTAGGGTTTGGGGGGGTTTAGGGGTTTCGGGCTTTGAGCTTGGGAATTTTAAGCTCATAGGTTCCAAGGTTCCGTGGGCTTGAGGAGTTTAGACATGTTGGGGTTTAGGGTTTAGGGTTTAGGGTTTAGGGTTTAGGGCTTTGGGACTAGTTGTTGTCATGGGGAATGAGGGTCCAAGGGGGTCGGGTCTTGGCATTTACGGCCTTCAGGTGAAACCCTGGAGCTCGAAAAGCATCTCAATCCTGGAACACGAGTCCGACGACCATGTTTTCTTTTTATGACTCTTGCGTACCCAAAGGACGTGAAACCTTAAGCCCTAAACCCCAAACCCTAAACCCCAAACCCCAAACCCTAAACCCTAAACCCTAAAACCCTAAACCCTTAGGATGATGGAGGGCAGATTCCTGGCTTGAGGGGTTTGGGGCCCTTTTGGCTGCTCTGACTGCAGCCACCTCCACCTCCCTGGGCTCCAGGACCTCCACTGGAGCTTAGGATTTGTTTAAGGCTTTTTTGTTTTTTTTAAGGGTTTGTTTAGAGCTGTTTCGGGTTTTTAGGTTTGTTGTTTTTCAAAGGGTTTTAAGGGGGTTTTTAGGGTTTGTTTAGGGTTTCCAGGGTTTTTAAGGGTTTCAGGGTTTTGTTTTAGGGTTTCTAGGGTTTTTAAGGGTTTTGTTCGGGTTTGTTTAGGGTTTCTAGGTTTGTTTTGGTTTTTAGGGTTTGTTAGGGCTTGTAGGGTTTCTAGGTATTTTTAAGGGTTTTGGGGGTTTTTTAGGGCCTATAGGGGTTCTAGGGTTTGTTAGGGTTGTTTATAGGGCTTTTTAGGGTATGTAGAGTTTCTAGGGTTCTAGGGCTTAGAGGGTTTTTATGGGGCTTATTTGGGGTTTATAGGGTTTGTATGGTTTCAAGGGTTTGTAAGGGTTGAGGTTTCGGTTTGGGGGCGTAGGGCTTGGTTCTGGGATTTCGGGTTTGGGATGTTCTGGAGCTTCGCAGCCAATTGGTGTAGGGGTAAGCTAGTTGCATGGCGAGTTCGGTCAGCATGCGGGCTCGAAGTCTTTTCAAGCCTCAGAACCCTCCAACCAAACCAAGGAGCCTGAAACTCTGAATCTACAAAGGGCTGGCAGAACCCCAAGCCTAAACCCTAAACCCTAAACCCTAAACCCTAAACCCTAAACCCTAAACCCTAAACCCTAAACCCTAAACCCTAAACCCTGCTGTGCAAAGCTAGGGTCCCTCTTTGGGAAGGTAAGCTCTCTCGCAGGGGCCCGCGAGAGTTTGGGGGTGTAAAAAAAGGACCATGATAAGAAAACTTTCCGTGAACCCTTTTGAGCCCTAAACCACCAAAAGCCCTTACGAACCCAAAGCCCTAAACCCTCAACAACCCTAAACGTAAATGAGCCCCGAACCCTAGACCCTAAAAAAAACCCTGAGCCCCAAACCCTAAGAGCAAACAATGGCCTTCAGTTGCTTCTTCCCCGCTTGCTGGGCGCCTACCAGTCGGAAGGCAGACTATTGGGTTGTGTTGGCCAGCCGCGGAATGAAAATCTCTGACATTGGCGTTGTCTCTGTAGTAACGCGGAAAGCACCCTCTCAGGGTAGTCACATGGTCCCTTAGTATGGGCCCTTGTAAAAGGAGACCCCTTATACACCCCTTGGATATCCTATAAAACCCAAGGGCACTTGCTTCAAAAGGAACCATGTAACTTCCAGGGACTAAAGGAGGGACGCTTAAGGGACCTTGGGGGCTAGCATACAACCCTAAACCCTGAACTGAACCCTAAAAGTAAACCCTAAACCCTAAACCCTCAACCCTAAACCCCACGAGCCTTTGGCTTCTCCCGGTAGAGCAGGAACTTCCACTCCTGGCGATTTCCAGATCACCACCACACACCTCAGAGGGGCAGCCCTTACTTGGAGGTTCATGGTACTTATTCACCCAATACTTACTCTACTTCTAACCCAACTTTAAACCACATTAGGGCACTTAAGGGGCTGATAAGTACAGCTAGAAACGCTTAATAAGGCCTCTGAACGTCCAAGTAGTTCCATCTGTGAAGTGTCGGGTACCAACTAAGACCCCCCTGCACCTTTGCTAAACCCTAAACCCTAAACCCTCAACCCTAAACCCAATTGTTAACATCACACCAGAAAGCCGGGTGTTAATACCGGAAAGCATTTTGGCCGGGATTTTGGCCCAAAAGCTTGTTTCATGAACGACTTCCATTATGTTGGGTTGTTTAGAGCCTGATATCCCATATTTAAGGGGTGGAAAGAACCCTAAAAGGGTGTTAATACCAGACAGTCCTCCGGGAGAACTTCCCAAATATGGTTTTGAGAGAGAACTCCTCTTGCGAGCTCTTTTCAACCGAGGCAGAGGAGGCCCACAAACCTAAATAAACCCTAAACCCTAAACCCTAAACCCAGAAGAGGCCCCCGGAGGAGGCCGCGAAGAGGCCGCAGAGGAGGCCCAGGAAAGGCCAGAACAGCCAGAGAAGAGGGCAGGCATCCAAGGTTTGTTATAACCACCAGATAGGGTTTAGGGTTTAGGGTTTAGGGTTTAGGGTTTAGGGTTTAGGGTTTAGGGTTTAGGGTTTAGGGTTTAGGGTTTAGGGTTTAGGGTGTAGGGTTTAGGGTTTAGGGTTTAGGGTTTAGGGTTCTGGCTTCCCCAAACTTTTGTTCTGACCCAGGGTCGGAACGAATCCTGGGGCAGGGGGGGGGGGGGGGTTATTAAAGCGACCTGAACATTCAATTAATTACCCTAAACCCTAAACAAACCCATGATTCGGATCAGCCCCTCTTAACTTGGCCAAAGGCTTGTCCAGCTTCCAGACGCCCATAGCCTTCTGCCGCACTTTGCAGGCATACCCTGGCTAGAAGGGGGTTTAGGGTTTAGGGAGTTTGATGATGATGAGGATGTGATACCTACAAGGGTATCATGAGCATTTGTTTTTTCATTGTGTGGGGTGTTGTAATGGCATGGGTATCCTACGCGGGCCTACGCGTCAGCTCATGTTTAGTAGGCGCGCGGCCTACGCGTGGAGCATGTTGTTAACATGTGCCTACGCGGACCTACGCGGCAAGCATAGACAACCTACGCGGACCTACGCGCCCATACTGCATAGACTTGCCTACGCGGACCCTACGCAAACCTACGCCCTGCAGGCAAAATGCTACGTGGCCGACTTTCAATAATCGCGTCTCTACGTAGCCTTGCTCCTAGAAAAAGCACGCTGCTCATGTTGTTTTCAGAAAGGATTCCAGAAAAAAAACCAAGGTACCTGTCATAGAATGGGAGCCCTTCTTGTTGAAGGCGTTGTGTTCGATTCATTGTGAAGGATTCAAGGGGGGCATCTTTTTGTGTCAAGAAGGGATCTCAGTATGAAGGTGCCTGCAACCCAAAGAATGCCAGGGCCACCGAGGGCTTCACCGACAGCCACGTGCCTGGACGGGGGGGGAGCCTATGCTTGGAAGCCCTTTGTTTGACTTAGTAAGTCTGTAGGGTTTAGGGTTTAGGGTTTAGGGTTTAGAGTTTAGGGTTGAGGGTTGAGGGTTGAGGGTTGAGGGTTCAGGGTTTAGGGTTTAGGGTTTCGGGTAGCCTCTAGAAACCTCATTGTAATCTCCATTGCTGCCATAGCACACCTTACTAACCCTACTTACTGTACTAAGTCCGAAAAGTGCTTCCAAGTAGACCCAAAACCCTAGATCGATATAACAAGATTAATCCTACAAGGGTTTAGTAGGGTTTAGGATTTGGGGTAGCTACCGCACCCAAAACACTATGTATCTAAACCCTACAAACCCTAGTTACAAACCCCATGAACCCTATAAGCCCTGTAAACCCAATCGACCCTATAAACCCCAAACCCTAGAAGCAGCCCTAAACCCTATACCCTAAACCCTAGACACTAAACCCAATCCCCAAACCATTTAAGCAGAAATGCACCGGTCTGCGCAGCGCTCACTTTTGCTATCTCCACGTGCCCATGCCGATCTCAGCTAGGTTGGCCACCTTAGTGCATGATGTGACAACATCGAATCACGGGATGCTCTTCAGAGTTTGGGGGCTGGGAATCATATTCTAGATCCCTATGAAGTTCAAGGCATATTGCTTAATCGAAGGGTATTATAAGAAGGATTTGTCAAGTTGACACATCTTTCCGCTGAGCGCCCTGCGACCAAGACCTGCGAGGCTGCAGCGGACTCGCCCGGCCTCCGAGACAGGGCCACTGGCCTGTATAGGGTTTTGGGGCCTCTTTGAGGTGCTGTAGGGCTTAGGGCTTATAGGGCTTAGGGTTCAGGGTTCAGGGGCTGCGCCTCGCAAGCTCAGCAGCGACCTGCCATGCTGCGCAAAACTTGGGAGGCTACTCATCTGGATTTCAGGCATAAAGAACATTGATGTGAAATGATGTGAAGCTGCATACCAGTCTGGGACGGTATGAAGCACGCCAGGCGCCACCCGCTGCAACCTCAGCGCATGACAGGATGGCGGCTGCTGTGCAACCCGACACAGGGGCCACCGGGCCCCCACCGGTCCCCACCCACATTTACTTTGAGACTAGTCGGAACTTACAACAAGGCTCACGGGGTACCTTAGGAGCAAAACCTAAAACGGGTTTGTGGTTCACATGCCCCAAAAGGGGTTTTGGTGTATGTAGGGTATATGAATGATCCCGATTGTAGGCTTCATTTGGTCCCCGTAACCCCTAAACCCCTAACCCCTAAACCTCTAAACCCTCAACCCGTAAACCCTCAACCCTAAAACCCCAAACCCTTGAACCCTATACCCCTAACCCTAGCCTTACACCCTACACCCCTGAACCCTAGCCTTAAACCCTAAACCCTAAAACCCCTAAACACTTAACTGCTGAACGCTGACAATCTAAGCTGAGACTGGGCCAGCCACGTCGTCACCACAACCTCGGCGTCGTCTCCCTTCAAGTTGGCCTTGCAATCTGGGGTTTAGGGCTTAGGGCCTCAGTCTTTAGGGTTTAGGGTAAACACCCAGGGGTTCGAAAATAGAGGACGCCGAAACGGCTATCGTGCCGGTCATGAGGAAGGCCTTGCGGGGCTTTCTGGGAGGGCTTTCGGGCTTAACATGTCAGACTTGGGGGGGGCCTCATAGTTTTGGGCTTTCTTCCGTACTTCTTCCGCCATCAGAACTGGAGGAGTGGCATGTGGCCTGGTGGGGTTTAGGGTTTATAGGGCTGTTGGGGGCATGTCGGGGACAAGGACAGACAAAACTCCAAATCCCAAACCATAAAACGCCAGCATCCTGAACCCCAAGTGAAAAAGAAAAAACATAAACCCCAAAAAAACTCTACCTCGCTGTACTTCTCGTGGAACTAGATCCAACGCCCAACACCCCTATGAACCTTAAAACTCCACCGCCACTTGGGCGGGCACCCGGCCCAGAGCTGTCAGCAGATCGGCCTGGGTTTGGTACACAGGATCCCCAAAGGCTAAGGGCTGAGGGTTTTTGTCGGGATTACAGGGCTTAACAGGGTTTTCAGGGTTTGGGGTGGGGTTTTCTTGGGGCGCACAGGGGAGTTCAGGGTTTGTAGGCACCAGCATCCACAGACCCCCCCCCCCTCCCCCGTGAGTTGTGGGTTTAGTGTTCCTGGTTAGGCGTTCTGGTGGGTTTAGGGTTCGGGGTTCAAGGTGGTTTAGTGTGGTTCTTGCTGGGTTTAGGCGGTGGCTGCCGGGGGGGGGGGGGGGGGGCAGAACGCGCAACGTAAAGCGGACGTGGGTGGCAGGTGGGGGGCAGGGGGGAGGGGGGGGGGGGCAAAACAGAACCCCAGAACAAGATGCCGAAGGGAATGGTTCAGGGACCATTGTAGGTTTCTGATGGCATACTCAAGCACACTTTGGCCTTTGCCGATGAGGGCTTTGGGGTGTGTTGATTCGGTGTAGGGGGCTTTTAGGGTGTAGGTTCTAGGACTCAGCCAAAGGTGATTGCACGTTGCACAACATGCTATCAACATGCCATCGAATTTTGAGGCTAAGCACCCTGACAGTAGCACGTTAGGGTGGGCCCATGTTGCTTCGCGAGCAAAAGTACCCCAAAAAACAACAGACATGCAACATCAAGACCGGATGGGATCTAGAAAAGTTTTGTCCGATGCTCATAGGGTATTTATATACACGTTAAACTCTACTAGAACCCTTTACTTGACTTCAGGAACATTCCCAAACCAAGAATGCTTGGGTCCTCAATGGATACTTGGAGGTTCATGGTACTTATGAACTACTTGTAACTGTACTTATAATGCACTTATAAACCTCTTAAGTACCCTAATATGGTTCTAAGTGGGTTAAAAGTACAGCTCTTATTGGGTAAGTACCATGAACCTCCGAGTAGGGCTTTCCCCAACTGCCCTGCTGGGGTCCTCGTGAAGAAACGCCGGCACGCGGCCCACGGCGCTGCCTCAGATTTCGAGGCCATCGATGCTTAGTAGCTGAGGGTTTAGGGTTTAAGGCTTAGGGCTTAGGGTTTAGGGTTTAGGGTTTAGGGTTTAGGGTTTAGCATACAGTCATACAAGAATACAATAAGACGATAATGCAGGAATCGAATAGTATACTCGCACAACAAACCAATGATAAAACAATATAATGATAACACACTATTCTAAAGAAAATAGAAAACCCAAAAGTCGAATACTTATTCTCAGAAGACGCAAAATGACATATAAATGTATCTATATATTGACAAATTGATATAGTAATATAGTAATACAACAAAAGAGAGAAATATCAAAATCGAAGTCAAGACAACCTAAGAATATACTAGTAGAAAGCTATGAAATACATAACATGTTATTGATATAAGAGAACAATCAACAATGCAATAAAAAGAACAATAGTAAGTGTATGGATATAACAATTGAAAAAACAAGAACGTGACGATCGACTAACATACTACTCTAGTAATACTACAACAAAATATTAGCAGTAATGCTAGTACTCGATATATAATGCAATCATATAAGAATACCGTACTCGAATCCCGAAATATTGGAGTAATCTAATCAGATATTGAGAATAAAGCTAAACCGAACTGCCAAACATGTTCAGGTCGGGAGGCGCCTTGGCCAAAAACAACCTTCGGAGCCAGGCAACATTCCTTGAATCAGAAATTGGGACGCTAAGCCCCCAACCCCTAATGCAACATGAGGTCTACTCCTTTTTCTGGTGGGGGGGGGGGGGGGGGGTGGTCCCTCTCTGCCTCAACCCAAAACCCAAAACCCAAAACCCAAAACCCAAAACCTAAAACCCAAACCCCTAAACCCCTAAACCCTTGGGTGAAGCATGAGAGCGATTGGCTCGCACCTGCGGTCACATCGGCGTCGAAGCGCTCCACCTGCTGTGGGCCCTAGACCTATAGGGGTTAGGGATTTTGGGGTTTGGGGGTTTAGGGGTTCTTAGATTAGGGTCCGAGGTTGAGGGTTTAGGGTTCCTTAGATTAGGATTTGGGGTTGGGGGGGGGTTTAGGGTTGAGGGCTTTGGCTCCGTGTTATGGGGATCCCGTAGAGTGGGACCATCATCTTCACAGCGCCCCTCAACCGTCGACCCTGCCAAGGAAAGCCCTGATTAAAGCCAAAGCTCGACCCAGGGTGGCCCCTTGAAACCCTCTAAAAGAGGGTTTATTAGGGTTTAGGAGTTGAGGGTTAGGGTTTGGGTTTTAGGGTTTAGGGTTTGGGGTTTCGAGTCTACGGGGTAAAGAAGATCTTCTTAAACCCGGCGAAGGGAACTAACATGAACAAACGCAAGTCTCTCCAGCCCTAAACCCTAAACCCTAAACCCTAAACCCTAAACCCTAAACCATGCCCTCGCTCGGTCGCACGTGCAGAAGGCCTCCAGGGAAGGGCACAGGAAGAGCGGCACCTGCCCTGGCCTCAGTCAGGGCTCTCAAGGGCTCAAAAAGGCTTTAAGGAACCTACCCTAAACCCTAAACCCTAAACCCTAAACACTAAACCCTAAACCCTAAACACTAAACCCTAAACCCTAAACCCTAAACCCTAAACTCTAAACCCTGGACAAGCGTCGGGTTCCCTGACTTCGAGCGTCGACGCGCCTGACAAGGCCCACACGGACCCAAGCTTTCCACTCGCAATCGCTTCGCGGCGGTCCTGGCGTCTGGAAGGTCCCACGATGCCCCCCACCCCCCCCCCCTCGCCAAAAATGACAGCCCTGCTGAACTGAAGGGTTTAGGATTTATGGGGTTTTGCGTTTATAGGGTTTAGGATTCACGGATAAGGGTTTTGGGGTTTAGAAGCTTAGGAGTTAAAACCTTAAACCCTATAAACCCTAAACCCTAAACCTTAAACCTTAAACCCCCAACTGTCAGCCCCCCCAAGCCCACCCCCGCTCAAGCTCACCTCAGATCCGATGTCGCGGCTGCCAGCTGGAACCGGCCGCCCAGCCTGAAGCTCCAGTCTCTGTTC